TTATTAATCAAATTAATTAAACCCAATCCATGAATTAATTAAGAGAAAATTACCTAGAAACCTATTTTTAAAGATTACATTTCAAAAGTAAGGGGGTGAAAGATTAATTTCAATAATCAGGTAGTAAATACTAATTTTTAAATTAATTAAAACAAATTAATTACATCCACTCACCCCCGATTCCCGAACTACTAATTTCTCTCTCTTTCCACAAAATCAGATGTTCACTTTACCCAAAAATTAGGTCGACTTCTTCCCCACCCTCTAGATTCCGGACACCCCCACCCTCTAGATTCCGGCGACCTGCTGCTTTTCTCGCCGGAGTTTCTCGAGATCGCTTGTGCGTCGCTGGAAGCTCATTGCGGCGAAGTTGAGGTGCTGCAGCGCCGCCAACAAGACGCCTCCATCCCCAACCACCCTCCACAAGCTTGTGCGTCGCTGCAAGCTCAGTAGTTTTGTAGTACGATTGGAGGCGGTGGGTGATGGTTGTGGTGCTGATCTATTGTGTGATGAGTTGGAGGTAGAGTTCCAGCTACCGGACGATCTGTTCGAGTCTTGTGTTTTCTGAAATTGTTAGCAATGGTTCTGCTACAGTGTGATGCCACTGCTCGCGATGCCGTTGTAGGCAAAAAATGGTTCTATTCCTGCCAAGACAGCGATGCCCACTCTGACTGGGTTCCTGTGTCCGATTTTCTCCCCATATGCTTCAACCGAACGTCGCTGAGTGAAGCGGTGTCGACTCCGTCACAAATCCATTATTCGGTGAATTATTTTTTGGCGATGTCGGCGATTTGAATTTTTTGGAGTGCAGATCCAAAGGAAATTTTTTGTAATTTCAGTTCAATCAATCAAGTTTACTGCTTGGATTATTCATTCCCAGCTGAATTGTATTATTTTGTGTTGAATTGGTGCTAAATTGGGGTCTATATTTTGCTGGTTTTGGTTGGAAACCACCCAACCATTACAGTGGTGTCGCCGATTTGAATTTCTGGGAGTGCAAATCCATTAATCGGCGTCGGCAATAGTTCTAGAGTGACCAATTGTTTGAG